ACATGTCCGCATCGTCGCATAAACAACAATGATCGATCAACAATACCATTACTGTATGGAATATTCAAGGGGCGGGGCTTACTGGCGGTGAGATTAAAGCGGGGTCCGCTTCACGCATCAGTGCGTAAAACGCCGGGTTCGCTCTAGTGGACCCAGAGCTGACCCCGAGCGAACAAAATTTCTGAAAGCGAACCCGGGGTCCGCTCCGGGTTCGCTCTGGTGTACGGTTGTGTCTGGTCGGTACTGAAAGTATGGAAGCCCAGTAGGGACATAGATTATTTTTCATAGTTTTGCCACATTCCTCCCATTTTTCATTACATTTTTCAATTATTTATTTATTGAGATTATTCATTGAGATTCATTTTTCAGATTAAATTACATTTTTGATAAAGCTTTATTTATCCTGTGCCATTTTCAAAGACTTCTGTTTGTTAAATTTTCATCATTATTTATTATTTGTTATCATTTACAACGGTTAATTCTCACTTTATTAAATTGATAAAACTTACAACCGTGTTTTCATTTAGCGTTGACCATAGTTCAGAAATCCCCTTACCTGGGTTGATCATTGATAACTTGAGATAGTTTTCTCCTTTAAGCCAAGTTGGATAGAAACTTTGGTAATTTATAAAGTAAAGAGTTCTACTTCCGGTTACAATTGCACAAAAGCTGTGTCACCACGAGTACCCGGTTATGTTGAAAATGTTATTCCTTTATTTTCTACAGACAAATTTTCGTATCATTATCGTATAAGATAATAAGTGTTCGAGGAAATACTCATCAATATTGGTGCCTTCCTCTAATCTAACCAAGGTGGAGCATTGAATTCAGGATGCAATGCAGTTGAAGCAGATGATTCAGAAGGCGGCTCAGATGGAAAATCAAATATAAGTTTGTAAATAGATTCCAAAGTGTCTGGATATGAATAATAAAAACATTAAATTATATAAATACAATGCAAAAGCTACAGATTCCAGACTACCTCTCAAAACATTTTTACCAGATGGTTAACATGACAACTATGAAGGGAGAAATCCTGCAGTTTATTTCAGTTAATATGTATAATAAATTAAGCATTTATAATGTATGAAAACTGTCATACTACGTTCCTGTATTGAAAAATGTAAGACCTACCTTCGTTGGGATCATTCATAGATGTTCCAAACTCCTTGGACCTAACATAAGTATATTCCTGTCCTGTGTTCCTCCTCCTCACTTGGATTTTAACTCTGAATTTAAACAGAGCATAATAATTCGAACTTCACCAGATTTAAGTTTGAAACGGTAAACAGAAAATAAAAATACCTTACTTTAAAATTACATAACAACTTGCTAGCAATTTAAAAATTGGAAACCTGTGATTATTTTTAAAATTGTATTTTCTACATATTTTTCAAATTGTTGTGAGGTCTCATTAAATTTATTCTATAATAAATCATCTTAATTGTGATAACGCTTCCCAAGTTTGTCAGCGGGCAAACTTTCCACAGGGATTTTTTCACGGGTCGTAGGGGGCCTGTACGAGACCCCTTTCCCAATGGTAAAAAGTGTGTATTTTTCCCAATTTCATTAAAGCAAATTCCTAAAAGAGAATCCAAACAAACAAATCGGTTTAAAAATGTTAAAACTCAGTAATAAGTATGATAAAAATGTTGTTCCAAATAAAAATCTAAAAGGCGTTCTCCAAAAACTGATTGACTGAATGTAAAATTAGTCAAAAAAATACATTGCGAGTAAAAAAAAAACCCTTCGTACTAGAATTTATATAGAAAAATGTTAAATATGAGATTTTTCCCAATTTTAACCAACTGTCACTATTTTTCCAAATGGAAAGGCCCAGGTCCTTGTTTTCAAGACCAAGAGAAAACCTTGTTCCATCTGTACAGATCTTTTGTTTTGAAATATCCAGATTATTGTTGTTCTATCGCAATATTTTTGTCTCGAATGACACAGAAAAGACCGACCGGGTTACGTATATAGCTGACTGTCTTCAAAAGAGAATATAATCGATAAAAATTAATTTGCATACCTGTATTATTAATTGAACTCCGTCTGAATTTCACATAATATTCACGATATTTTCTTTTAAACTCCATTTTACTTTGTACCCGCCGTCTTAGCTAAATTCTCTTTACACAAGATCAATTCGGACCAAGTTACTTCATGAACATATAGGACGTTATCGGTGTGTGACAATATACAAATATGGACTCGATGTAGGACAATATGCATTCATAATGACCCAGGCTGACAGATATTGACCTCAGATACATGGGTCATTATAAATGCATATTGACCGTGCATTGAGGTCATATTTATTATATAAATAATATTTTCCCAAATTTATTAATTCAATGTTTATCTTCCTAATGTTTTAGTCGCCCGCATGGCGCATTTGTTGGAGCGTCTGCTCTAGAGTCGCGAAGTAAGGAATCAATCCTTACGTCGCGGGTTAGAATCCCACTGCGGGACATGGAGACCGGTCCTTCGGATCAGACCGTATAAACCGAGGTCCCGTGTCGCAGTAGGTGCTGGCACGAAAAAGATCCCTCCCTGCTCAATGGCCCCGAGTGCCGAATAAAGGATAAAATTTGCAGCTCTCAACCGCGGCAAATGGTGGCGTCTCCATATGAGTGAAAAATGCTCGAGAGGGACGTTAAACAATATCAATCAATCCTTATGTTTTACAGAGATATTATTAACTATAAATAAGCTGAATGTAAATGTTTCAGAATTTATTGAATGTTACTCAGAGGTACATTTGTAATTGTTTCGGAAATAAATTTTAACCCACAGCATGATAATAACGCAAGATATCTATCTCTGAATAACACAGAGTACCCCCTCCTCAGATTGAGAATCGCACTTACATTTGCAGAGGAAATTATATGCACAGACAAAATATAAATACCCATTTCTTCTAAATATGATAAGATACAATCATACATGGCACGCTCGTCTTTATTTTCTTTAGTCTTCGTAATCGCGGAAACACCCTCAAAACGCTATAGTCGCCTCCCTTACAATCTTTGTATTTTGATTGTGAAAATGCTTTTAATTAATAACACAGGTGAAGGATATAACAAATTACCATTCGAAATCATCTTTGCTACTCCTACACAGAAAGAGTTCACAGATTTCGTTTCAGTTTTTTAAAATCTACATTGAATACACAAATGTATATCTGTAAAGTAGCGGACAAGTAAGACTGTTGGGTTGTAGGTAGGTAGGGAGGTAATGTGTGTTTATGGGACCTATTAGTGACGGTCTGTGAACGAGTGGTGCCAGTGGTTGAAGTATTGTGTGAACGAGTGGTGTCAATGGGAGTAGTAACATTGTGTGAGCGAGTGGTGTCAATGGGAGTAGTAACATTGCGTGAGGGAGTGGTGTCAATGGGAGTAGTAACATTGTGTGAGCGAGTGGTGTCAATGGGAGTAGTAACATTGTGTGAACGAGTGGTGTCAATGGGAGTAGTAACATTGTGTGAGGGAGTGGTGTCAATGGGAGTAGTAACATTGTGTGAGCGAGTGGTGACAGTGGTATTAGTAACATTGTGTGAGCGAGTGGTGTCAATGGTTAAAGTAACATTGTGTGAGCAAGTGGTGTCAATGGCAGAAGTAACATTGTCCAGGGTATCACGTTTTTGAGTAGACTCAGTCATGTACTGTATAGTGTACTGGACTGAGCCGTATGTGTTAGTACACGATCTGAGGACACATTATAATTTGCAATTGAAGTTTGTGCATTTTGTTTGTGTCTCTTTGTGAATGCAGAGAAAGGTCCAGACTTGTGAGTGTTGACGGAAAACGAAGTAGTCGCTTTTGTCATGAGGTCGGTTACGTTGTGACGAAGCGAAGTGTTGAAATCTAGAGTCAATTGAAAAATGCAAGTCAACAGTGAACAAAAATAAGAAAGTTAGAAAACACAAAAAAAGAATGTACTTACCCATTTCGTTTTGTGATGGTGTTGTCATTGTGACTGTAGTGAGTTCTGAAAAATGAGAAATTAAGATATCTACAAATCGTAAAACGTGAAAGTATTATCCCAACTGCCTTTCACCTAAAACGGGGAATTAAATAAATTTACTCAATAAGTGAAATATTGAATATAGGTAACATACCAGAACAGACAGGTTCATCTAATAGAAAGTCGCAAGGCATTGTGTCTTTTCCTGGGAAAAATCAGATCAAAGATCTATAATTTTGCAGCCTTCGCTAAAATCTTGTGGTTTTGATTGGCTTGAACTGACAGTGGGCGGAGTTTTTCCCACGGCAAGTGTATATGATTACATCAGCTAGGCTCATTCGTAACTACTTGGCCATTTTCCGGAAGAAAAATAGTTATTTATCGTTCACGGAAATGACCGAGTAGTTACGATTACAGTCAGGCTCTATTTTTGAAAGGGGGGGGGGGGTATTTAAGGAATGCATTATTTTTTACTTGATTTTAGTGATATTTTACGAGAAAGGGAGATTGAGAAATAGAGAATGTACATATACCTGGACATTGAATACTTTCGTTTGTTTAGTCCAACATGACAATTTCCTTTACATTAAGATCATCAGTAAAATTATTTAAAAGGAAAAAAGGAAAGAAAATATGAATAATTTAAGTACGTTTGTATCAGATAAGCGAGTGAAATAGAAATCGGTTGAAATGAATGGAAAAATTTGATACTGTCGTCAAATGACATGGTTAAATTTGTTTCACTGATTAAGTTTGACATCATTAATGAGATAATCTGGAAATATCATCGTACCGACCCGTATGACTGTGAAAAATATGTCAGGTTACAGTGATCTCATTAGAAGGTGATGATTTCAAAATTCGTTACACCCTCTTGCTATAGTTATTGTATGAAAAGTTATTTTTAAAATATCTACCCAAACAATGATAAGAATCACATGGTTATTTTTTTTTTCTTATAAAAACTGAGGGAAACACCTCAGAACTTCACTTTGGTTCCACTCAAACTGAGGAAAACACCTCAGAACTTCACTATGGATCCACTCAAACAGAGGGAAACACCACAGAACTTCACTATGGTTCCACTCAAACTGAGGGAAACACCTCAGAACTTCACTGTGGTTCCACTCAAACTGAGGGAAACTGAGGGAAACACCTCAGAACTTCACTTTGGTTCCACTCAAACTGAGGGAAACACCACAGAACTTCACTCTGGTTCCACTCAAACTGAGGGAAACACCTCAGAACTTCACTGTGGTTCCACTCAAACTGAGGGAAACACCACAGAACTTCACTCTGGTTCCACTCAAACTGAGGGAAACACCTCAGAACTTCACTGTGGTTCCACTCAAACTGAGGGAAACACCTCAGAACTTCACTGTGGTTCCACTCAAACTGAGGGAAACACCACAGAACTTCACCCTGGTTCCACTCAAACTGAGGGAAACACCACAGAACTTCACTGTGGTTCCACTCAAACTGAGGGAAACACCACAGAACTTCACTCTGGTTCCACTCAAACTGAGGGAAACACCACAGAACTTCACTCTGGTTCCACTCAAACTGAGGGAAACACCACAGAACTTCACTCTGGTTCCACTCAAACTGAGGGAAACACCTCAGAACTTCACTGTGGTTCCACTCAAACTGAGGGAAACACCACAGAACTTCACTCTGGTTCCACTCAAACTGAGGGAAACACCTCAGAACTTCACTGTGGTTCCACTCAAACTGAGGGAAACACCTCAGAACTTCACTGTGGTTCCACTCAAACTGAGGGAAACACCACAGAACTTCACTCTGGTTCCACTCAAACTGAGGGAAACACCTCAGAACTTCACTGTGGTTCCACTCAAACTGAGGGAAACACCACAGAACTTCACTCTGGTTCCACTCAAACTGAGGGAAACACCACAGAACTTCACTCTGGTTCCACTCAAACTGAGGGAAACACCTCAGAACTTCACTGTGGTTCCACTCAAACTGAGGGAAACACCACAGAACTTCACTCTGGTTCCACTCAAACTGAGGGAAACACCTCAGAACTTCACTGTGGTTCCACTCAAACTGAGGGAAACACCACAGAACTTCACTCTGGTTCCACTCAAACTGAGGGAAACACCACAGAACTTCACTCTGGTTCCACTCAAACTGAGGGAAACACCTCAGAACTTCACTGTGGTTCCAATCAAACTGAGGGAAACACCTCAGAACTTCACTCTGGTTCCACTCAAACTGAGGGAAACACCTCAGAACTTCACTGTGGTTCCACTCAAACTGAGGGAAACTGAGGGAAACACCTCAGAACTTCACTGTGGTTCCACTCAAACTGAGGGAAACACCACAGAACTTCACTCTGGTTCCACTCAAACTGAGGGAAACACCTCAGAACTTCACTGTGGTTCCACTCAAACTGAGGGAAACACCACAGAACTTCACTCTGGTTCCACTCAAACTGAAGGAAACACCACAGAACTTCACTGTGGTTCCACTCAAACTGAGGGAAACACCACAGAACTTCACTGTGGTTCCACTCAAACTGAGGGAAACACCACAGAACTTCACTGTGGTTCCACTCAAACTGAGGGAAACACCTCAGAACTTCACTGTGGTTCCTCTCAAACTGAGGGAAACACCACAGAACTTCACTGTGGTTCCACTCAAACTGAGGGAAACACCTCAGAACTTCACTCTGGTTCCAATCAGGATGGCATCATACAAGTTAGTGTATTTTCATTAAAACTTTTGCGAATTTTTTTTTTTTTTTTTTTTTTTTTAAAGAAAACTATTTTATTAATTTTTTTTTTTAAGTTGCACTTGTGAAAAAAGAGAGGAGATTTTGAAACTCCTGAATTATATCATGGAGGATATTAAAACTATGGAGTGTCCGTGAGTTATTATTTTTTTTTCTTTTCTTTTTTTTTTGGTTTTGTTACCGTTTTTCTGCTTATTTTTTATTTTAATTTTAAATTAAATCAGTATGAATCATTTACTTGAGATGTGAATATTTTTTTTTAGAATGGCCTTACGTTTACATAAGAGGAAAACGTTTTTCAGGTATTGAGATTATATAATTACGTGTGAAGAAATTTAGTGTTTTTTTTTTGTACTCACACTTTATTAATTTTTATAATTTATTAATTTTTTTTACATTTAGTCTGTAAATTTTATTTCAGTACGCCTGATGTTTCGTGAGTGTATTAATTTAATCCTTACTTTAATAATTTCCTCATTTTTATTTATTTTTTACGTACTTAACGAGAAAAAAAAGGGGAAACAAAAATTAATTTTGTTTTAAATATTTTTTATTAGTCCGGTGGGGAAAAAGTCCAACAGAAATGGGTTAGTATATTACAAGAGTATTTCTAATCCCTTTTTTTTATTTTGGAAAAAATAAAATTACGCAGAAAAAAGGATCACAAAAGTATTATTAAAATATAGTCAGATAGATAAATAGTTAGATCATACAAATAGATATCTTTTTTTTTCCTTTTAGACCGCCGAACGCACCACGACGTCCGCCGTTAGTATTTTATACTTTTCTTTAAAAAAAAAAATTATTGGGATTCCTTTAAGCCAATACATAATTTTCTTAAACGTTTATTTCTTTATTAAATATATATACATATGGATTTACTTTATCTTTCATTTACTGATTATTGTAATGATTTATTTTCAGCCGTCTTGTGATGGAGATCATAAGCGTAGAAGAGTGGGTTTTCTTTTTTTAACGTCAAGTGTAACTAGTGCTAATTGTAACGGGAACCGTTACAGATGTTCCCCAAACGCTCCCCAACTCCTTTTTGGTGCCATATTCCCTGTAAGCTTCATTAAATAAGAGAAACTCTGTGCATTTTTGACTTTAACAACGTTTTCTCAGAAGGATACCAATTAAATTCAAATTTTAGCATTACACCCGTGCGCATGTGAATGCATGTGCGTTATGATCATATCATCTTGTCTACACTATCTACATATCTTAATATACAATATATTAAAGATTCAGTCCAAAAGTATGAAAAATCACTCTTTCAAAAGTATTTTTCATGTCACTCGTTCCAAATGCACGCACGTGCGTGCACATGCATGATGACCATACCTTCTTGTAGGAGTCCCTTATATCTATCTATATTTTAAATCCCATCTTGTTTGGTTGAAAAACAAGGGAGTTATAGCCATTTCAAGTTTAAGCCAATCAGATTGCAGCACACGTGCATGCGCGTGATTTCATGATTTTTTTTTCTACATCATATTGTAGTATATCCCAATGCATGACTATATTTTAAATTTCAAAGCATTTCGTCAAAAAACAAAGGAGATATAGCCATTTATTGTTTCAGCCAATCAGATTGCAGCACGCGGGCATGCGCATGCTTTCATGAAAATTCTTATATATCACGCTGTAGATCTTCATAATGTAGGTCTATGTTCAAAATTCCAAAGGATTATGACAAGAAACAAGAAAGATATTGAGACTTTAGTTTCAGCCAATCAGAGCGAAGCGCACGTGCATGCGCGTGAGATCTTACTTTTTTGACCATGTCATTTTGTCTATCCTTCTAATATATACTTATAATATGAATTTTAAATCATTTCATCAATAATTTAAATAGTTACGTCTGTATCAATTATATTGGACATTTCTCGTGTTGCACGTGCGAGCTCTTGCAAGCACATGTGCATGCACATGCTTTCATGATAAATTTTATATTACAGGCTGTAGATCTCCCTAATGTATGACTATGTTCAAAATTTCAAATGATTTTATCAAAAAACTTAAAAGATATTGAGACTTTAGTTTCAGCCAATCAAAGCGAAGTGCACGTGCATGCGCGTGCGATCTTGCTATTTTGACCATATCATCTTGTGCATACTACTAATATATCCTTACATTATAAGTTTCAAAACATTTCGTCACAAAATAGAAAAGTTACGGTTATATCCATTATATATTGGTCATTTTAAGTTTTGCACGTGCGCGCTCTTGCAAGCACGTGCGCGCAAAATGACCTTGATTCCGCAAATCTACATAACATGCCTACTTACCCTAAAAAGGTTTCACTTAAGTCGGATGTGTAGTTTACAAGATCACTCGCGGAAAAGATTTTCCCAGGAAGAAAAATAATAATAATAACAATAAGAACTAGGGCTAATTGTAACGGGGACCGTTACAGATGTTCCCCAAACGCTCCCCAACTCCCTTTTGGTGCCATATTCGCTGCAAGGCTATCAAATAAGACACACTTTATGCAATTTAGACTTAAACAACGTTTTCCAAGAAGAATACAAAAAATATTTTAAATTTAGCATTGCACGCGTGCTCATCTGAATGTATGTGCTTAATGACCATATCGTCTTGTCTACACTATTTGTATATTTTAATATACTTAATATCAAATCAATTAATCCAGAAGTATTAAGAAATACACTCACTTAAGCGTATTTTTAATATTACTCATTTCACGTGCACGCACGTGCATGCACGTGCATGAGGACTATAAAATTCTTGTAGGAGTCTGTTATGTCTGTCTATGTTCTAAATCCCATCCTGTTTAGTTGAAAAACAAGGGAGTTATAGCCATTTACAATTTTAGCCAATAAGAATGCAGCACACGTGCATGCGCGTGTTTTCACGATATTTGTTATATATAATATTGTAGTACATACTAAAGTATGTATATATGTTAGATTTCATAGCATTTCGTCAAAAAACAGAAAAAATATTGAGATTTTTGTTTCAGCCAATCAGAACGAAGCGCACATGCACGCACGTGCATGTATGTGCATGATGACCATACCTTCTTGTTGGAGTCCATAATATGTGTCTATGTTCTAAATCCCATCCTGTTTGGATGAAAAACAAGGGAGTTATAGCCATTTAAAGTTTAAGCCAATCAGATTGCAGCACACGTGCATGCGCGTGCTTTCAGGACAATTGTTATATATCATATTGTAGAACATCCTAAAGTATGCCTATATTTTAAATTTCATATCATTTCGTAAAAAAACGGAAAAGATATTGAGATTTTTGTTTCAGCCAATCAGAGCGAAGCGCACGTGCATGCGCGTGAGTTCGTGCTAATTTGACAGTGTCATATTATCAACACTATTAATATATCTTTATAGAATGAGTTTCAAATCATTTCATTAAAAAATGTAAAAGTTGTAGCTATATTAAGTATATCGATCATTTCACTCATATCACGCGCACGCACGTGCAGGCGTATGCGCGCAAAATGACCTTCGTTCCGCACACCTACACTACACACCTATTAACCCTAAAAAGGTTTTAGCTTAGTTGGATGAACAGTTTCTGAGAACACTCGCGGACAAAAAAGTACCGGAGAACAAAGAAGAAAAAAAAGAATAATAATAATAATAACTAGTGCTAATTGTAACGGGGACCGTTACAGATGTTCCCCAAACGCTCCCCAACTCCCCTTTGGTGCCATATCCCCTGTAAGCTTCATTAAATAAGACAAACTCTATGCATTTGAGACTTTAACAACGTTTAACCAGAAGTGTACCAAGTTCATTCAAATTTTAGCATTGCACGCGTGCGCGTGAGAATGCATGTGCGTAATGACCATATCATATTGTCTACAGAATCTATATATATAATCCAAAAGTATTAAAAAAAATACGCTCATTCAAGTGTATTTTTTTTATTTTACTCATTTCACGTGCACGCACGTGCATACATGAGCATGGTGACAATACCTTCTTGTAGAAGTCCATTACATCTATCTTTATTCTAAATCTCACCCTGTTTGGTTGAAAACCAAGGGGGTTATTGCTGTTTAAAGTTTCAGCCAATCAGATTGCAGCATATGTACACGCACGTGTATGCATGTGCATGGTGACCATACCTTCCTGTAGAGGTCCATTATATCTATCTATAATCCAAATCCCATCCTGTTTGGTTGAAAATCAAGGGAGTTATTGCTGCTTAAAGTTTCAGCCAATCAGATTGCAGCATATGTACATGCACGTGTATGCATGTGCATGTTGACCATACTTTCTTGTAAAGGTCCATTATATCTATCTATGTTCCAAATCCCATCCTGTTTGGTTGAAAATCAAGGGAGTTATAGCTATTTAAAGTTTCAGCCAATCAGATTGCAGCGCACGTGCATGCACGTGTTTTCATGAAAATTGTTATATATCTTGTTGTAGGATATCTTAATGCATGGCTATCTTTAAAATTTCAAAGGATTTCATCAAAAAACAAGAAAGATTTTGAGACTTTAGTTTCAGCCAATCAGAGCGAAGCGCACGTGCATGCGCGTGAGATCTTGCAATTTTGACCATGTCATATTGTCTATGTTACTAATATATCCTTATATTATAAGTTTCAAAGCATTTCATCAAAAATGTAAAAAGTTACGCCTATATCAATTAAATCGGTCATTTCACATGTTGCACGTGCACGCTCTTGCAAGCACGTGCGCGCAAAATGACCTTCGTTCCGCAAATCTACAAAACATGCCTACTAACCCTAAAAAGGTTTCACCTAAGTCGGATGTATAGTTTACAAGATCACTCCCGGACAAATAAGTACCCAGGAAGAAGAAAAATAATAATAATAATAAGAAACAGAGTAAAAACAATATGTTCCCCAACTTCGTTTGGGGAACATAATAAGAAACCGAGTAAAAACAATATGTTCCCAAACTCCGTTTGGGGAACATAACTAGTGCTAATTGTAACGGGGACCGTTACAGATGTTCCCCAAACGCTCCCCAATTCCCTTTTGGTGCCATATTCCCTGTAAGCCTTATTAAATAGGACAATATCTGTGCATTTTGACTTTAACAACGTTTTCCCAAAAGGATACCAATTATATTCAAATTCTAACATTGCACACGTGCCCATGTGAATGCACGTGCGTAGTGATCATATAATCTTGTCTACACTTTCTATATATTAAGATTTACGTTATATATTAAAGCATTTAGTCCAAAAGTATTAAATATCACTCCTTCAAGTGTATTTTTACTTTCACTCATTCTAAATGCACGCACGTGCGTGCACGTGCATGATTACCATACCTTCTTGTAGGAGGCCCTTATATCTATCTATGTTCTAATTCCAATCCTGTTTGGTTGAAAACCAAGGGAATCATAGCCATTTCAAGTTTCAGCCAATCAGATGGCAGCACACGTGCATCCACGTGATTTCAATTTTTTTTTTCTAAATCATATTGTAGAATATCCTATTGCATGACTATGTTTTAGATTTCAAAGCATTTCGTCAAAAAACAAAGGAGATATAGCCATTTAAAGTTTCAACCAATCAGATTGCAGCACATGTGCATGCGCGTGATTTCTTGAATTTTTTGTATATCATATTGCAGGATATCCTAATGCATGACTATGTTTTAAATTTCAAAGTATTTTGTCAAAAAACAAAGGAGATATAGCCATTTAAAGTTTCAGCCAATCAGATTGCAGCGCACGTGCATGCGCGTGATTTCATGAATTTTTTTTCTACATTATGTTGTAGGATACTCTAATTCATGACCATGTTTAAGATTTCAAAGCATTTCGTTGAAAAACAAAAGAGATATTGAGATTTTTGTTTCAGCCAATCAGATTGCAGCGCACGTGCATGCGCGTGAGTTCTTGCTAATTTGACAGTGTCATATTATTAACACTATTAATATATCCTTATGTAATGAGTTTCAAAGCATTTCATCAAAAAATGTAAAAGTTATAGCTATATTACGTATATCAGTCAATTCACTCATTTCACGCGCACGCACGTGCAGGCGTATGCGCGCAAAATGACCTTCGTTCCGCACACCTACACTACACACCTATTAACCCTAAAAAGGTTTTAGCTCAGTTGGGTGAACAGTTTCTGAGAACACTCGCGGACAAAAAAGTACCGGAGAACAAATAAGAAAAAAAATAATAATAATAATAAGAAACAGAGTAAAAACAATATGTTCCCAAACTCCGTTTGGGGAACATAATAATAACTAGAAAGTCTGCTTGCAAGCAATAGCATATGTCGCCCCGTATTAGACAAGACTTTCATTTTTATCATCACTAAAACAAAAGTCCATAAGCTAAGTTTGAAAACCTTTGAGTTATATCAGTCCTTTCCATTGGAAACGGAAGACCTTAATTCGGTACATCCCTCTCATTATTTTTAGAATCGGTAGGAGAAGAAAGTAGTGCAGGAAAATTACAAGTTCCTCAATTTGCAGACTTGCATAAACGAAATCTGGCAGGTGTACTGAACTGAGCCTCATACTTGTAAATTGGCAGTATCTTTCCTATCATAAAAGCTTGGGAAATGTAATTAATGAAGAAGATCAGCCGAATTATTTTGTGTATTGTAACGCCAGTGGGAACTCTGAAATTTCCCTCTTTCACTTTCATTTTAGAGGTTCTACCGAAAAACGAATCTGACATGCCACCATCAATTCGAGCATTTCTGCATTGCAGAGAGCTGATGTGTGTTATGAGATGATAAATCATGTGTGAACTTTCTCAGTTTAGCGGAATCATGAACATTTTCGGCGAGATGAATGTTTTGTATACAGTGGTGATCAAGGCTTTGCGAACCATCAGGAGCGGATCAAAGAATTTATGAATGAATAAAAACTATGGAAATGACGTACCAATTTTTTAATTTATACTTGCACTATCTAATGAAATGAATAATATACAAGTGATAGATATACAAGAAAACGCGAAATGATAATAAATGCAGCTGACAATCGTTATTTTTTTTTATATAGATAAAATAAAATATTTATAAATTCAAGAGACAAAACAGAAGGAGAATGAATGATGGCAAAATATCACATGACGGGAACTGAATTTTATGAATGAAGATTTCAAAAAGTTACTTGTAAGTTGTATATGTTATATCTGTGTATTCTACTTGGCTGTGTGCTTCAAAAAAAAGGGGGGGGGGGGGTCGTCTTGAACATAGTAAATAGCCATAACGTTTGAACGGTAAGTACCAGGGCTTTCGTATTTCAAATATGTAATCCTTGTGAAAAGAACTTTTATTGGATACGACGAACTTTGACCCTTTGACCTAGACCTTGGAGAACACATGTGTACATCTGAATCTTTTTTTCTGTTTCGTTTCTATGGCAACCGTGAGCGACTCATTACAATTATTTTGAAAGTAGAAATCACTTTGACACATTGCAAGAAATAAACATTGAAAGTTTCAAAACGATTGCCTGAGTAGTTATTGAGAAAATCGAAATTAAAGAATTTTTACTTTCACCTGGTTTCCATGGCAATAATCGATTATATGAAAATTTTAAATACGAGTTGCAGAACTACAGATACTAATCCTTAAAATAAGAAAAGTTTCATGACGAACGTTTTAGGGACCAGAGAGAACACTCTCGGACAAAATTTGTCGCTTTTTACAGGTTTCCATGGCAACGGTAGACATATTGGAACTGAACGACCTCACTGCACAACTACAACCAGTGATCGTCCTTTGAGGAAAGTTTCAGGAAGATTGTCCCAGCCATCTCCGAGAAACAGCCTGGATAAAAAAAACATGCGTACAATATCAATATGTCGTCCCCGACTTCGTTCGGGGCGACATAATAACTCCTGAATTTTTCTCATCAATAACTCCTGAATTTTCCCCTTCAATTCGAGCATTTCTGCATTGCAGAGAGCTGGGTCCCCCATCATAAAACATTCTTAAGTCTGAGAATGCTCTCAAGCATTTCTCAAATCCAAAATTCTCAGACTCAGCGGCCGTCATAAAAAGTTGAGAAAAATAAAAATACCTTAAACTCTTTCATTCTCAAAATCTCAGCTGAGTAATTCTCAAGAGATGAGTTGAGAATTTTTTTGAGAATTCTCATAGTTTCATGACGGCGGACCCTGATGTGTGTTATGAGATGATAAATCATGTGTAAACTTTCTCAGTTTAGCGGAATCATGAACATTTTCGGCGAGATGAATGTTTTGTATACAGTGGTGATCAAGGCTTTGCGAACCATCAGGAGCGGATCAAAGAATTTATGAATGAATAAAAACTATGGAAATGACGTACCAATTTTTTAATTTATACTTGCACTATCTAATGAAATGAATAATATACAAGTGATAGATATACAAGAAAACGCGAAATGATAATAAATGCAGCTGACAATCGTTATTTTTTTTTATATAGATAAAATAAAATATTTATAAATTCAAGAGACAAAACAGAAGGAGAATGAATGATGGCAAAATATCACATGACGGGAACTGAATTTTATGAATGAAGATTTCAAAAAGTTACTTGTAAGTTGTATATGTTATATCTGTGTATTCTACTTGGCTGTGTGCTTCAAAAAAAGGGGGGGGGGGTCGTCTTGAACATAGTAAATAGCCATAACGTTTGAACGGTAAGTACTAGGGCTTTCGTATTTCAAATATGTAATCCTTGTGAAAAGAACTTTTATTGGATACGACGAACTTTGACCCTTTGACCTAGACCTTGGAGAACACATGTGTACATCTGAATCTTTTTTTCTGTTTCGTTTCTATGGCAACCGTGAGCGACTCATTACAATTATTTTGAAAGTAGAAATCACTTTGACACATTGCAAGAAATAAACATTGAAAGTTTCAAAACGATTGCCTGAGTAGTTATTGAGAAAATCGAAATTAAAGAATTTTTACTTTCACCTGGTTTCCATGGCAATAATCGATTATATGAAAATTTTAAATACGAGTTGCAGAACTACAGATACTAATCCTTAAAATAAGAAAAGTTTCATGACGAACGTTTTAGGGACCAGAGAGAACACTCTCGGACAAAATTTGTCGCTTTTTACAGGTTTCCATGGCAACGGTAGACATATTGGAACTGAACGACCTCACTGCACAACTACAACCAGTGATCGTCCTTTGAGGAAAGTTTCAGGAAGATTGTCCCAGCCATCTCCGAGAAACAGCCTGGATAAAAAAAAACATGCGTACAATATCAATATGTCGTCCCCGACTTCGTTCGGGGCGACATAATAATAAGAAACAGAGTAAAAACAATATGTTCCCCAACTTCGTTTGGGGAACATAATAATCTTATAGAAATTATATGTAGTCTGACGGTATTGAGAAAATGTTATTATTATTTTATAGTTCGGATAGTTTGGTGCAACTACTGAACGATAGCACCTTTGAGGAGGAACAGTAAGCAAATCTCTCTCTCTCTCTCTCTCTCTCTCTCTCTCAGCTACTGACTTAACTACTCAAATACAGTAAACATTACTTTAAAAAACATTTCAGAAACGGGTCAATGACGGTAGAAGTTATGGAAAAAAATGAGGAGAAAAATGAATGTGAGTCTCTCTCCCTCTCTCTCTCACCCACACACTCCGTCATACATATACATATACATCCTCTCTCTTTCTCACACACACACACACACACCCACTCTCACACATACACACAAACACAAACACACATACATATATTCAATTGTGTACTATATGTCTTGTTTTTAGTTTGTAGAAAGAAGAAAAGAATCGCGTATACATTGTAATATCGCGAAAAAGAATAAAAATGTTGAAATCAAAATGATAATATTTTGTTTGTGTTATTATTAAAACTATATGTGAAGTTGGAAAAAGGCTTCATGAAAGAATGGTTGTAAAATGAATGAGGAGACTGATGAAATGAATGAGGAGACTGATGAAATGAATGAGGAGACTGATGAAATGAATGAGGAGACTGATGAAATGAATGAGGAGACTGATGAAATGAATGAGGAGACTGATGAAATGAATCTACGTTTATATTATTGCAAAGAAAAATGAAATGAAACAAGAAATAACAAAATAAAGTGTTGTTACTTGATGTGATCATGTAATATGGGAAATCTTTTGTATATAGTGGAATGATTCTGATTTACACTAAAGTAAATAAAATAAATATGTTATAATCTGTCTTATATACATTAATTTTATAATTTTAATTCATGGATGATAACTTTAAAAAAAGAGAATAATTTTTACTGATATTTGACAGGTTATAACCAATTTATTTAAAAAAAAAAAACACACACACACTAAGAAAGTGTACGAAGGATCCTATAACCATTGAATAAAAAAATAGACTTCAATGAAAAATTGATATACTTATTTTGTTTTTATTCTTCTTTTGTTTTTTTTTTTTTTTTTTTTGAATATGTCGATTATATTAAACAATGGCTTATCAGATTAAATTTAGAAAAAAAGAAATTAAAAAAAACAAACAAAGAAAGTGTACGAAGGATCCTATAACCATTGAATAAAAAAATAGACCTCAATGAAAAATTGATATACTTATTTTATTTTTATTCTTCTTTTTTTCTTTGAATATGTCGATTATATTAAACAATGGATTATCAGATTAAATTTAGAAAGAAAAGAAATTAAAATTGTATTCGTTAATTCAAATGTCGACTGTTATTTATTCTATTGATTTCGTGAGTCTATTATACTCTGTATATGTATTTTTAAAAAAAGACTATTTCGAAATCTCTCTTGGTAACAGACTGTTGTTTACGGATGATAGCTGACAACCAATAGAATTTGTCATTGAAAAATAACATCAGTGAAAATCGTATAAAAATATCTAAATATTTATTTTTTGAGTAGTCTAATAGCAACCCTCAGATCAGTAAGAACGTAACATTTTCATCTACCCCCCCCCCCCCCCCCCCCCCCCCCCCCCCAATGTATCAATGTGGATATTGTCATTTAATATTCGGAGATTATGATAGTATGGATAATCACGAAAAAACGCACAGTCAGGAAAATAAGAGAGGAGATTCATTCCCTGATAGATAAGAAAAAAAAACCCAGATATACAACATGTATAAAAATACTCCAAAGCAAATCAAGTCCAAGCAAATAAAAAAAATTGGGAAAAGAAGAGAACTATAAATAAAAGAACTGGATAAAATTTATGAAATAAAAAAAGTATGTGTGTTGTTATTGTTGTTGTTGTTGTTTTTTTTTTGGTTGTTTGTTTTGTTTGTTTTAACCAAGAAATGATTAAGGGAAGTATACTTATTTAGAAGTGTATACATGTAACAATAGTTTTATATCTGATTTTAAATGCATTAAATCCTCGCTCGGTTACAAGACGCCGACTGGAGAAAGGGAGCTAATACGAAAAAAAAAGATTGGTATATTATGACATGAAAGGACTTTTATTTTAAAGACAAATATATACACCCCTCCTTCCGTTTTGGTGGGAGTAGGGAGTAGTTAGATTTCAAATTTCTTTAGTTCTACTATACAATTTATTATTTATAAACGTAACTTTTAATGGACAATTGGAGAAATCATTCATATTTTATCCGTTTAATGTTTGATAACATATTAAAAAAAAAATAGAAATAAAAAAATCATATTTAGAAGAAAGCAATCATTGTAGATCTTTAAGAAAGATGGAGGGTACGTATATGTGTGTGTGTTCTTTATTTTTTTCCCCCGCTTTCGCGAAAGCGAGGGGACATTAAATCTCATTCGTCTGTCCATCAGTCTGTCAGTCTGTCCGTCCGTCACAAATTTAACCTTGCCCATAACTTTTGATTTAGTAGAGCTCTGACATATTTCACATATGTAATTCTTGTGATAAGACCTTTCTTTGGGTACCACCAAATTTGACCTTTTGACCTTGAAGTTTAACCCACTTTTACACAAAAAATTTCATACTTTAACTTTGGCCATAACTTTTGAATAGTCGATACAAGTTTTTTTATATTTCACATAAATGTTTTTTGTGAAAAGACCTTTCATTGGATACCAACAACTTTGACCTTTTTACCTTGACCTTGGAGATCTCCTTGACCTCGGAGATTTCCGAACTTATGGAAAAAATTTCAACCTTGACCATAACTTTTGAACGGTACGGGCTAGGGCTTTCATACTTCATATATGTAATTCTTGTGTGAAGGTCTTTCATTGGATACCAAGAATTTTGACCCTTTCACATTGACCTTGGAGGTTGGCCTACTATTAAAAAACTATGACCTTTGCCAAAACTTTTGAACAGTAGATACTAAGACTTTTGTATTTCACATATATATTCTTTGTGGCAAGACCTTTCATTTGATATCAACAACTTTGACCTTATGACCTTGACCTTAGAAATTACCGAACTTATGAAAAGATTTTAACATTGTTGACCATAACTTTTGAACGGTACGGGCTAGGGCTTTCATACTTCATATATGTAATCCTTGCGTGAAGGCCTTTCGGCAGGGGATGTTCACTCCTCCATGGCACCTGATCCCGCCTCTGATGTTTCGGAGGTCCGTGTTTGCTCTGCTCTTATTTTGTATATTTGTTTAATGGACGTTGAGATTGAATACTGTTCGTTATTTCCATATCCTTCTATACCAAAAACTTTTATTCTTTCACCTTGACCTTGGAGTTTGGCCTACTTTTCAAAAACTATTACCTTTGCCACAACTTTTGTACAGTAGATACATTTATTAGGACTTCATATTTCACATATATGTTCTTTGTGGCAAGACCTTTCATTTTATTGATTGATTGATTGATTGTATATTGTTTAACGTCCCTCTTGAGAATTTTTCACTCATATGGAGACGTCACCGATGCCGGTGAAAGGCTTCAAATTTAGACATTTACTCGGCACTCAGGGCCATTGAGCAGTGAAGGTTCTTTATCGTGCCAACGCCTGCAGCTGACACTGGGCCTCGGTTTTTAATGTCTCATCCGAAGGACCCGCAACTTTTACTTCAAAGTGCCGAGCGCATGGCCAGGGAACAGTTGCTACCCATTCTAACGACTAGGTCGGTCGCGGCCGAGATGCGAACTCACGACCTCCCGATCACGGAGCGAGGGCTCTACAGACTGAGCTACCGTGAACGGTTAATTGGTTGGAAGATAACGAACACCAAACTTCTTATGGAACCTTGAGCGAAACAACAGAACCACTTCCAATTAGTCCTTTTGTGCACCCTGAGCAAAGATCTCCTGTAAAAACAAGAACTGGGAGAAGAATTAAACCCAGGGAGATCTACTAACCATCACTTTAATATCAATTATTTCAGATAAGTGATTTTTTTTTCAAAAATTATCTGTTATTTGAAAGTAACATATTTTCAAAAGTATTATTTGTAATGATTTGTAATCTCAAATGTGTGTAATTAACATTTGGAAATTGATCTTATCTATTATTTCATGGTAATATAAAAGAGTTGGAATATTTTAAAACAGCTGGACTGTTGAACCTTATTCCTATACTCCGATATTACTTTGGTATACTTGATTTGTTTTGAAAAGAAAATTCTAATATTAGTTGTACACTGATTTTGATAGGTTGCTTTCATGGCCGTATTGGACATTTTTGTCACCCGTGAGGAAATAGAGAAACTTAACTGTGACATATGCCCCTTGTGGCAGGAGAGGGGAATAACATGTAACGTAGAGGGATGCGAGACGTGGTTGGGGAGCTACAAAGCGTGCAGAACACACTGGACAGAAGTCCATGAGCCAAATATTGAAATATATAAATGCACTGTCATTATGCTAGTAAGAGGAGGGGACAGGTGACTCGGCATGCGCGCCTCAGACATCAAAGCGCCGTGGAATCCACTCACACCACAGTTAGGAATCTATGCTATAAAGATCCGCAAAATAGTTTGATGCCCTTGGCACCAGTGTCTGAAGCCCGAGACAGATTTCGAATGCGAGGCCGCTTTGAAAAGAAAAAAACAGTCTCAATCGTGAGGCCGGTCCCATATTAGCAAAGCAAACCACTGTATCGTTCGATCAGAGGTTTGCCCGATCCAAGAGGGAGAAAACATCGTGATCACAGGAAGACTGGGGGGGGGGGAGGCAATCGGTGCCAACAGTGAGAAAATATACATTGTAGTTTGACAAGTGACAGTGTAAAGTTAATGTTAACTGTTAAATGATATTTTTTACTTCTATTTTAGCTTTGTTGTTTAATTGGATTTTTTTCTTTTCATTCATTCATTCCTGCTATAGATTTAATTATAATTATGAATAAAATGATATACTCATTTATGTCTTTAGAAGGGGGATGTAGCAGGAATGGATTTTCTTCTATGCATTTATGCCTTGTATTTGAGTAATAACATGTAATTATCATTGTTTTCATACATATATGTGTATACTGCCTTATCCCTAATACATTTGTTTATATTTAGCATGTTTACAAACATTCTCAGGGAAAAGCATGTGTTGCTTCAATAAAAGTTTTGGGCTAATGTTTATCTAAATTTTGATTCGGGTGCATCCACTAAGATTCTAAGTTGATTTTTTCTATTGTTTCCAAAAAGTATAAAAACCCGTGTAACTGCTACTTTAGTGGGGAATCTTAAAAAGCAGTACGTTTTCTCACTTTTATAGAGGTTTATTAGGTATTTAACAGTTTGCACCCTTTGAAATTATGTTAAGATATTATAAAGTATTGGTACAAAAATTGTCGTCGTCTAGTGCTCCATGTTAAATTTATTAGGCCATAAAAAAGTAAGGAGTTAGGTTTTCAATAAATAAATGTAAATAAGGTTTTTTTTTAAATTTATATAAGCCTTTTCCCCCGGCTAGGTTGGGCTAGCGTTTCCAGACGCTAGGATGGGGTGGTTTTTGCTGGGTTTTCAAAATTGGGATTTT